AATACCGAATAGTCTCCCTAATGTAAGTAATGATTCAAATATATAAAAATATGTGGTAATCATGATTCCCCATTATGTGGCCTTGAAGCCTTATAAAGTTTTCACTTATTAATTGGAAAGGCTTCATTCTCGGCTTCTTTATATGAAAATATTTGAAGCTATAGTATATGAAGTTTTATTCAAATATTTCAAGGAAAAAGACAGACACTATGGTAACTACTATTAAGTCGGGTTATTTGGTGGTGAAGCACTAGGTTGCTGAAAGTCATGCTTTGACCTGTATTGTTATATTGTTCTGTCCTGTTTTATCTCAATCTCTCCCGTATTCATTAAAAAAATTATTTAGTTATTTTTTATGTTTTTTTAATTAAGGGGAAAAATTTTAAAAATTAGCAGATATATAATAGTAACTTTTTTTGATTTCCTATTAAGTTGTTTTGAAGTTCTGTAATACTCCTACTATCTTGTTTTGACTGATTAGACTCTGTTCCATTCTGTATGATAGTGTCAAGTTTGAGGGTATAGGCAACTACTTTGAAGGCAATAAGATTCACTAAGATGCCCATTCTGGTTTGACTATTGTCTCCTTTGGAAGTCCTGTAATGTTTACAATGCCTAAGTTTTATTGGTCTTGTTCTCTACTGTTTTGTCCAACTTTATAATATCTAATGAGATAGACAATTCTTTTTAAGGAAACAAGAGACATTGTTGATAACCATTGTTGATAACCTTGTACTCTGTTTTACATCATGTACTATGTCTATCCTTGGTTTTGACTGACAGCTTTGTTTTGCCATATTTGACTTTATTCTCTCCCCCCCAAAAAAGTAATAAGAACTAAGGAGTAATAAAATCCAAAATGTGTAAATTTTGTTGTAAAAAAAGAGAGGGGGAAAAAAAGAGCTCTAATGGATATAACAGCAAGTGTGTTTAGGGGTGTTAAATAGCTGACTATATTAATGTTTTTGGATCATTGAACACAGCTGTTTGTTGTCTCTCTGTTTGAATGTCCACTTTGTATTCTTTGATACTGTGATTTGAGCAACTATTTCCAAGATGATAATATGTAATCTATTAACAGGTGATTTCTTACTTTTTTTTTTTTTGTAGTTCTGTATTACGTGTACCCTTACACCGCTTTGTTTTGTTTTGTGTTTTCTCTTTTTCCTTTTAAATAAAATTTTTTAAAAAACTAAGAAGAACCAACAAAGTGAGAGAAAGGCACAGATTTTATGAATGAACAGAAAGATACACCTGGGTAGTTTCAAAGTTGTTTCAAATGGTATATGTATTGAGGTAAGAAAATGAGGGAGAAATTTACACTATAATGAATGGTTCCCACAGCAGGCAGTAAGAAGATTCTATAATCTGCAGGTAAGTTTTTCAAGTTCTGCTTTTGCCTGTCTCATATTTTTCCTTAGGAAAATCTTCCACAGTTTTTAGAACAGAGATAGTCTCTCACATAACTGAAGCCAGGTACCTAGTGTTGAGAGGTTATGGATGGTGCTAAATGGAACAGTAGAAGAAATAGAACATACATCCACAAGGAAGCAAGCATGTATCTAATTAAGCACAGAGCTGAGCGGAAAAAGAAAGAAATACCATTTAGAACCTACTACCATTTTTGTAAATTAAAAATTCATAAAAGTAACTCAGCTAAGGTAAAAAGAAATGACCAGCGATGTCCGTTGCCACTTACTGAAAAGGAAATTGAAATTTTGAGTCTAGCTGAATTAGGAACTAAAGGAAAAAAAAAAAAAGAAAGAAGGAAAACCTTTGGGGAAAATATAATAACTGAGTCTTTACATTTCAAACTAGGACATAATCCAAAGTAACAATAGGAGAAAATCAAGAAATGTAACCCATACTCCAATCAAGAGATTGATCCCAAAATGATCCAGTTGTTGGATTTTACACATAAGAATTTTAAGGCAGCTAAGATGGAGAAAGGGGATAGGGAGGAGAAAGTAAAGAGACATAAAATGAATTAAGATGTGTTATATATCTGTACCAATTCCCCAGGAAGAATGTAATCATTATGTCCTAAAAACATCACTAATAAAAATAAATTTCAAAAATTATCCTAAAGAAGCGAGATATGGTGGTACATTCCCATAATCCCAGCTCTTAGGAGGCTGAGGCAGGAGGATTGCCAAGAGTTTGAATGAAGCCAGCCTGGGCTACACAGTCAGAGATATTTAGATTTTTTCCAGCTATTGGACAGACAGGTAAACATTACTGAGGAAGGAGACAAAGTATTGGCCATATTTCCTGTCAGACCCATTAGAATTACAGTACAGTCACAATCATGACTAAGCCTTTTCTTGACTGATTTGGGCAAAGGTGTTAAACTGATTGCAATAACAGCCACAATGAACGGGGTTTTTTGGTATTCACATCCTATGCAATCTTACTTTGCAAGAGGTGAAATTTATTCTGGGGATTTGTTTTGTTTTTTCAGTACTGGGGACTGAACCCAGCAATACTCTACCTCTGAGTTATAGTCCCAGATCACCGCTCTCAAATCTTTTATTTTGAGACAGTCTCAATAAATTTGCCCATGTTAGCTTCAGCCTCCAGAGTAGATAAGCTTAGAGGCATGAGCATCATGCCTAATTTTCTGTTTTTCCTAACCCATGTTTTTATGCTGGCTATAAGACTTGCTCTGGTCGACAAAAGGTGTTAAGAGAGATAGTGCTGTATGAATTTTATCTCCAGAAAAATGTATCCAGAAAATACAATGAAGACAGAGAGAAGAACTGCTAACACCATTTGCCAAAGATTTCCAGAAACTAGGACAGATTGTTCTCCAGAGCCTTCAGAAAGAAACAGTTGCATCTTGGCCCTTGCAGCTCCCAAAACAATGAGAAAATATGTACTTATTATTTGTTGTTGAAGTCACTCATGTTGTGAAACTTTGTTACATTATTCCTAGCACACTAGTACAGGGAATAAGGAGGAAAACATTAGTCTTTACTATCTACAGGGGATTATGAATTCTCCCCATGTGGGATGAATGTGAGATGGTAGTTACCTCTCCATTCTCTACTCAGAATTTGTTAGTATTTATTTTCCCAGATGATATCAATGAAAAATTTCTTATTTTTTGGATTTCATTAGGAAATACCAAGTTGCAAGATACTGTGCTAATATAAACGTCTTAATCAAGTTGGTAACATGAAGCCAGGTGTGGTAGTATACCTAGTATTCCCAGCACTTGGGATGCTGAGGCAGGAATTTTAAATTCAAGGTCAACCTAGACAACATAGCTAGACCATGCCTCAAAAAGAAACTAACTAACTAACGGTTTGTGCTTTCACTGTTTGACCAATTTTTCATGCTAATATCTTGTGATATTAGCAATTGCTTTGAAGATAACCATAAGCAATATATTAACCATTGTTAGTCTATTATTTTGCTTTGAAATTCTGTATCATTATTTTTATTCCTTTTTCTTTTCAAGTTATTCACCATATGCTTCTGCACTAGCTGTTTCTACTTCAGTGATTAGAACGATAAGCCCAATACCTTTCTGCCCATAAAGATACTAAACTGACCAACATGCTTTGAATTGAGGAATAGACCGTAACTACTAAACTTCATGGTTTGAAACTCTTTACATGTGTGATGCAAGTTAACTACAGAAATCTATAAACTGATAATCACTATTTGCTTTTGCTTTTTTAGTAGCTCCTCTGTATTGAGATCAATCCACATGTACAGATACAGCCAACTGCAGATCAAAAATATGTGGAAAAAGCTGTGTCTGTATTTAACATGTACATTCTTTTTACTTCTTATTATTCCCTAAGCCATACATAAAACAACTAGTTGCATAATGTTACCTTGTTTTAGGTATTATAAGTAATCTAGACATGACTTAAAAGTATCTGGCCACAAGAGGGAGGAAAAGATGAAGAGAGGATGGTTAAAATATACAGCAGTGCAGTTGGATGAGAGAACTTTTAATGTTTTTCTAGCACTGTGGATAGGATAACTGTGGTTTACAACAATGACTTCAAAATAGCTAGTACAGAGGAGTTTGAAATTCCCAACACATAGCAAAGACATATCTAAGACAACAGAGATGCCAGTAACCCTGATCAGTTCATCTATGTTATGTACATGCATGAAAATATGCTGAACTCCATAAATATGCAGACTTGTTATATGCTAATTATAAATAAAAATGTTTAAAGTAGTAATACTCAGCTATAAAGAATGATAAACTTGATGCTTTTATAGGTAAATGGTTGCCACTTGAGACAATACTCATAAGTGAAATAAATCAGAATTGCATGTGTTAGTATTGTATTGCTTCCCTACTGTAAAAACGTGAAAGAATAAATAAGATCTAAAAAGTACAATAGATATTGTGAAAGTAAAGAACACTGCTCTTCTTTCCCTTCTTTCAAGGGAAACAAGAGGAGAAAAGATTATACATATACAAGATTGATACCTATACTACTAATCTCTGTTAGTTCATCAAAAAGAATGGTTTGTGCTTTCACTATTTGATTGTTTGATCATTTTTATGCGTATATCTTGTAATCGGAACTACTGTGAATGTAACATTACACAATATATTAATCATTGTTAATCTATTATTTTATTTTGTAATAATGTATCATTGTTTTTATTCTTTTTTGATTTTAAAATAAATAATTTAATTAAATATACAACAAGGGCATAGGTTATGTACAGATGCCATGACTATAGAGGGACTTGAGCATCCACAGACTTTGGTACCCAAGCGGAGTCCTGGCTCTATCTCCCTTGGATTCAGAAGGATCACTTTATGACACACCATTCCAAGGTCCCGGGTATTCCTTTATGTCACCTCTGAAGACATTCCAAGAGATGTTAAAGCAAATTCTGATTCATTGACTGCTGATTTCTGCTATTTGCCCTGTTATCCCCTGTCCCCATTAGATCAAGGCAAGCTTATTAATTTTTGATAAGTTGTTGCCTAATTAACAATACACACATTGTCTACATACCTTCCATACATTTCTCTTCTTCTTCCAGGGAGATGTTGGTTTCTAAATACTTATAACTGAGTTCTTCATCAGAGAAGCCTGTGGTTTTTGAATATGCAGAGTCCTCTTCACCACCATACAGGATGCCTTCTGAGTCATTATAGCCCCTCTTTTTCACGGTGGTTTCTGCGTCTTCAGAGTATCCAACAGATTCTTGATATTCCTCTTCATCTAAGTATAAAGTATCATCTGGCTCCTCATATCTTTGTCCATCCTTAAAACCCTAATAGTTATTGGAGTTTCATATTCAGCTTTCTCAACTGAATATATTAATGTGACTTTTGGAGTATCACATGTTTCCTCATTGTCCCTGGAGGACAAAGCACTTTCTCTCTGATTAGTTTTCTTGTCTTTGGAGAGTGCCAAGCTTTTCAAATCTAAGTGTTCTTTCTCTATGGGGGACAGAGGAACCCCAGGGCTCTCAAGCTTTTTCTTTCCAAAGGAAGAAGTATCTTGTGAATTCTTGCTTTGTCCCTTAGATTGAAAAGATGTTACACTCTCATGGTTTAAAAATTCTGAAAAGGACAAGATTTGGTTATTTTTTTCCCCCTAGAAATAATACAAAAGAAATTAGAAGTTAACTTGAGTTTTAAGTTCTTAAAACATCGCTGCTGTTTTTTTTCTTTTCTTTCTTTTTTTGTTTTGTTTTGTTTGTTTGACACAGAATCTCACGATGCTACCTAGTCTGGCCTCGAAATTCCAGGCTTAAGTGATCTATCCTTCTGACTTAACCTTCTGAGAAGCTTGAGCTGTAGGCCTAAAATCCCTCTTCTTTATGTCACTGGAAGGTAAAAAATATCTATTGCCTCTTACCTAATTTGTATGGCAAAAAATCAACTGCCAAAACTATTTCCTTCAGAAAAAAATCAGATGGCACAACTGCCTTTCTCAAAAGTTTATCTCTCACAGAAACTTTACAGGATAAATGAATGAAAGAGAAATTTTAAATCTTACAAAGTATTTCCTTGTGGACTTACTATGACCCTCATGTCAGATTTCCTGAGACTATTGTTAATTAAATCTGATCTGAATAATTCCAATTCACAAACAAAGAGCAGTAATCTAAAATACAACATAGAAATAATAAAGCCTATTTTTTCTAAGCATATTATCTTGTCCAACACTAGGGATCATTAAGACTCACTTTTTAATAAGAACATCTACTTTAGAATTGCTTTAAAAATGCTGAGAATCTTTTAAATTCCTTTTTTAAAAAAGGAGCTATAGCTGCCTCTAGTGGTAATTTCCACAATTTTAAGCAATATATTCTGGAATAACTGCTCCTTCATCTGTTACTAGCTGCTACTAGGTATTTTGACCATCTAAGATGTAGCATATATATATATATACATATATATATATATATATATAATTAGAAAGCACAGATTTTGAAATGAAAAGGTTTAACATAATAGAGATTATTGATCATAATAGAGATCATTGATCTGATCCTTACACATTGAAAATCACACTGAACCCTTTAAACATGTACAAGTATTATGTGTCAATTAAAAATTAAGTAAACAATATTTTATAGAAAGAATTAGTGTTTGAATTACTTCAGAAAACTGGAATTCTGTTAATATTCTTAGAGAGAAAAATGAAATTACTAATCAACCATCTAGCTATCCAAAAAGTTATTTTTTCCTGTACTTTCAGAACGGCTAGCTCAACTAAAAATGCTGGTTGAGGTTACTTACTCAAAAAAAATACACCTGACTGTGCCATTATTAACACTATTTTCTTTCCAACTGCAGGAGTTCACACTGTCCCTACCAGAACAATGAGCGCTTGATTGTCACACTAAAACAACTGAAAAGTTTGGTACAGTCCGAACAACAAATCACCAACCCCCTAATCATTGTTCCCTGCTTTGTAAATGTTGCAGACATGTACATGAAACCTTTTTTTTCCTCTGATAGTTCAGTGAAAATTACCGTTGGGAAAAAGACAAACACAAAACCTACTCTCTCTTGATAACTCCCAAAATGTAAGCCTTAACTTACCATGGCTTAAGCCCCAAGTGGTAGCAGACTCTGGAAAAGTCCTTGATAAGCACTGGAGAAAATTGTGGCAGCTCACCCCTGTTAGGTCTGAGAGAAGGGAGAGGAGAGGAGAAGTCCATGGGAGGAATGGAGCGGAGTGGATGGCCGTGAAAGTAGTGGGCAGCGGTGACTTTATTCCGGGAATGCGGGGAAGGGGCCCCCCGCCGCCGGTCCCGGGGCACAGCATCTCTACACCGAGCCCGGGGCCAGGCTGTGGTCTCTCCGGGAACACGGGGAGTGGAGACTGGCGCGCTGGCAGGCGCTGGCCGCTGGATTCTGGCAAGCTCTCTCTCTCTCTGGCGAACTCTCTCTCTGGCGAACTCCCTCGGACACGTGGCGTGGGGGAATCTAAATAGCCTAAGCTTAGGGCAGTGCCCCAAAGGCCATTAGAGATGCACAGGTATCTCATTGGCGCACAGATTCTTAAGGATGGGGATATAGGGTTACAATCAAGTCCATAGGGGGCGGGGGGGGGGGGGATGAGTTTAGCTGCAGCCTTTTCTGGTTACAGTGTTCCATCTGGGCCAGCAACTCTTTCAACCCCCACCCCCTTTTTCTCTACTAAATTTAACAGCTTCTGACTTTTCTTCAGGGGATCCACAACGTCTTCTAGAGTCTCATGCTCGTCCTCAGAAATCAGCCTCTGAGAGGTTAACTCATCAAAAATAGTAGCAGGATCTTCTTGGAGGAGTTTAGGCAACTCTTTTTGTTGTTTTTCTAGAATCTCTGAAGGAGCACGCCCCATAGCCATTGTTTCTGTTTCCTCAAGACCAGGAAATGAAGTCTTCTGATAGATGCACAAATAAGAGTGGGGGGAAAAAAAAAAAGACATGAAACCAAGATGCTGAAATGGAGCTTTAAAATCAGGAAGCTGCAGCTGGGCATAGTGGTGCACGCCTACAATTCCAGCACTCTGCGGGGGGCTGAAACACGAGGAGAAAGATCATAATTTATCAGTTTAGAGACCCTCTCTCAGGATTTTAAATAAATAAATGCTGGGGTATAGTTTAGGGCAAATACCCTCGTACCATTAAACAGAAGTAAATAAATAAACGGGGGAAGTTTTTTCTCCAGCTTCCTTGTGCTAAAAGACAAACTTCTACCCCATTCCCGGTGCCAAGAAAGTTTCAAGGGTCATAATCATTCAACATTTCTCCAGGCCTGCTGGTGTGCCAAACCCTGGCTGAACCTACGTACACCTGTTTTTTGGCTTTTGTTCTACCCCTCCTGTTAAAGTGCTTCTGTGTTTAGACAGGGGTGGGTATAACCACAATTTGACCAAATTGTGAATAAATTTTCTGTTTTTATGGGCCTCTTGGTAGTGGGTTGGTGAAGGAAAATGCATTAGTAGGGGTCCAAATTCAGGCCCGTGACCAGTCCCTGCCAAAAGAGTGTCATTCTATCTACCAATGATACAATACCAATACGCCAGTGATACCTAATGGAGGCAATGGCAGGCACACAGTATGGAAATTCAGCCTGACACTCTGGGTTCCTGGCTCCCTATGGATCATTTACTTGTGGCTCCTTAGGTATTTTTTTTTTTCTTCTTCTTCCTTTTCTGGTGGTGATGGAATGAACACAGAGCTTTGCAGTGCTTGGCTGATAGACTGACTCCCCAGTTTTATCCACTGTTTTCATAACCAGAATTTCATCAAGATTCGAGCTAGGGTCACCTCCTCTAAGAAGCCTCTTGTAAACTTCAGGTTGGACTAGTGTTTCCTGCTCTGAACACTACACTGTGATGATAAGAATGTAATTAGTTCATTGATTTTTGGAGGTCAATTTGGCGATACGGAGCACTAAGAAAAGGATAAGATAAAAAAAAATTCATACCCTTCAATCCAGCAATTCCACTTTAGAAAATCATTTTAAGAAAACATGAATATCAAAGGTATATACATAAGAATCTACATTAGAATGCTGCAGAATATTAAGAGACAGAAGAGACCATTAGATACACTTGACTCAGTTGGACTTGTGTCCAAAAGACTGAGAACAAAGGAAAGGTTGCAGGTTTTATGTATATGGCAATAGGGGAGGGGAGGGGTTAGTATCAGTTAGTGACACCAAAACAGGTGAGAACATAAACAAAGGCAGTTATTCACACAGTGACAGTTTTGTAACCTTTTGAATCTTTGAACTTTGTGGAGACAGGAGGATGTCGTAAACCTAGATGTTGCAAAGGACACCATAGGGAATTATAGGATGCATTCTTTAGGACCATAATTGTCATTCTTATCAGGAACAGAGCAGGAATAGCCTTAAAGGAAAACAGATTGTGGTGGGAACAGGATGCCGCAGAACTCAGTTTGCAGGAGTATAGTTGTTAACTGTATTCGTAATCACACAGAAATGTACTTTCAGGGAGGGGAGTTTGGGAAAATTTATTCAGGCTTGTTTTCCTTCGAAGTTTTGCTTTTTAATAATATTGTCTATAGGCCATTTGTGGACTTCTGCAGGAAAGAACAAGGCCATATCAGAAAGCAAGCCCCACCTAGGAACCGATGCCAGTGCTGGTTGCTGCTAGACTGGGAACAGTCAGACCCCCGCCCCTTCCAGTGTGTGGGGCTGGCAAACAAGAAGTAGCAATCCACTCCCTCCCCACCAGGCCATAAGTGAGCAGCTTATCCAGAGAAAAACAGTCTGTGAAGATAGCCATCAAAGTGAAATGCAATTGGATGCCTGTGTGTGCGCGCTCTGGTGTTTCACTGACCTTGCAGGTCTAGGGCCAGTGGTCTGATTATTTGTTCTGACAATAGTGGTTTGCAATGTGGCATCTGGGGGAGATCTCCTTCAGAGGGTGGTAGGCATTGTTGATTCCCTATTGTCTTGTTTTGAAACCCTACATTGTTTTCATTTATTTGTTGGGTTGGGTTTTATTCTCTTTTGATTCTATTAAATCCAATGGCATGAACAGCTATTTCAAAGATGGCAAGTTACATTATGGTAGCCATTTTAAATTTATTATAGGTCTGTTTTTAAGTCTTTTGTTGCATTAACTGTTTTCTTTTCATTGTTTCTATTCTATTCTGTTGTTTGATTTTTACTGTGTCCAAAAGTATCTGTAGGTATTTTGGAGACAACTAAAGACATTATGGTAACTATTGTTGATTTTGTAATGTTTGAAGTTCTGTATCTCTTATACTGGTTTGTTTTGATTGGTTTTATATTCCTTGGTTTTATCCTCTTTAAAATAAATAATAATGTTTATAATACCAGAATATTAAAAACCTAGTTTTTATAAATTGAGGATCTATGGAATATCAACACCAAACTTGGTGTTTCAACACCAAACTGTCAAAAATGATGAAGTAGATCTCTACATATTGATAAGTAATGACATTCATACCATTAATATTATGGTATTTCCAATATAAACATATGTATGTGTATGTATATATATTTAGAATAGTCAAGAGATACTCCAAATTTTAACAGATTATCTCAGATATGATTAGTTTTATACTTCCTACTTTAAATACTGTTTAATATTTTTTGTCATTAACAGACTTCTCATTTTAAGAAAACTAATTGGTCTTTACTTATAGTTACATAGTTTTTAAGAACCTGAAAGCAATCTAAATAACTATCAACATGATATTGAATGAACAGACAATAATATTCACTTAATATTATATAGCATTCAAAAGGAATAAACTTCAGACACTGTAGGGTGCATTTTTATTTTTTCTTCCCCTTTTACTCAGCCCGAAGCATACTCTGCTGAGCTCTTTTTTTCCTACCCTTCTGGGGGTTTTCCCTACCTTTTCTTTTTTTTTTTTAATCCGTTTTCCTACCTTTAATAAATGTGAAACTTTGCCTTCATTTTTGATGGTTTTAATTCTTTGCAGAAAGAACCTAGAAACTACCCCAGAAGGAGACTCCAGGTCCCCAAAACCCAGTAACAACTTAGCTAGGAGGTTTCCAAGAGACTTTTGGTGACTCAACTCCCTCCCATCAAGCTGAGTGGCCAGTTTGGGAGGAGGAGCTGAGCATGCTCAGTCTATCCGTTCAGTCTCTTGGGTCTCCTTGCCTGTGGGGACCAGTGATCAACCTTCCAAAATTGTTCTATCAGAGTAAATTTAAGTCAGACTTAACATCTCAGTATCACAGGCTGTGTGATTTTGTGTCTTCTGCAACCTATGTCTTCATTAGTAAAATGGAAGTAATTTAGAAAGTCTCAAATTCCAACTTAGTTCAATGACTCAAATTTATGCTCTCTTCCTCTCCCACACCTACTGTATCATTTGCATGAGGACATAATTATTCCCTGCTCCTAAAAAAAGAGCCCCGGACTTACTAGGCCCTAATCAATTGTTAAGTGTCAAAACTGACCCTCTGATTCCTAGTGTTCATTTTGCTCTGCAGGCTATCAAGTTGCTGGAACTGTGTATTGCAGGCCAGGCACTCTCAAGTTTCAGCAAATTATATACGTAGAGATCGTTTTTCCTATCCTTATGTGTTTGGAGATATTCTTTAACTGTTTCTACAAGCGCTGGGCTTTGTCAGCTAAAGAAATCACAAATCGAGGTCGCGTGGGAACCGCCAATTTCAAAAGTATCCACAGAGCCTTGTTTGTTTACTAGCGCAGACTCCGACAGTCCTATTCTAAGCCGGGGGGGGGGGCGGGGGGAATCACATTTCCCGCTGGTCGGGTGCTGGAATCGTTATACAACAAATTTCACAAGGAAACCTGAGGTCAAACAATCGGCTCCTATAGTCACCCTGTATAAAAACACCTCATTTCTCCCTTGGCATGGGCGCTCAGCCAGGCCAGTCCCGGCCTCTGCACTCCGCAGCTTCTGCCGGCGGTGCCGGTCAGCCCGGAGCCTCACTACGCGCACGCCACGCACTGCGTTCACAGGTGCCGCTGCCGGCACCCTGCTGGACCGGCCCGCTCTCCAGATTCTGCAGTCCATGCGGAAGTAGCAAGTCCAGACGCCATTAGCTGGGACATAAGGAAGAAACGCAGGAGCAGAGCACAAGGAGCCTCATTACTGCCCACGGGCTGCTCAGAACTAAAGCCCGTGGGACTAGCGCGCACTGCCCGGCTCCCAGTCTCCTCTTAACTCCACCCACATTGTTGCGACGGACGCTTGAGAGCGGTGCACCACGCCCCGCAGGAAGTAGTTCCCTAGGCGGAAGCTTATGAGCGTGATATAGCGGAAGTGCCTTCTCTTCCGGCCTCTTTGGTCTCGGCGGCACAAGCGCGATGGTGAGTTTGGTTGTAGGGTATCTCCGAATCGGTTTTCATCCTCGTTCCCTGTGGTGTCCTGCGTACTATCTCTGGGGGACCTGGCAAGGTTCCGAATCAGGGAAGCTGGCGGGCAAGAAAGGAGCATGCGATGTCCCACAAGGGCCAAAAGAATGACTTCTGGGTGACGGGCCTAGCCAACAGTCATGGAACTGGATCCTCTGTAGATCCCTTCCGTGTTGTGGGGCGCACGCAGCTCTACTTCGGATAGGAGACTGAGGGAAGAGGTCTGAGAGCCTTTGGCTCTGTAACAGCAGAGGAATCGCTGCTGGTTCCTGGCAAGAGACCTCAGGCTTTGGGGTAGGCACATGTTTTCGATCTCCAGTCTTGATGCCTTTCGAATACATGGATACGTGGTCGAGTCGGGGATGATAGCTTGGCCTGCAGTCCCCAACACTAGTCACAACCCTGCGTCTTTTCCCCAACGAAGACTTAGGATAATGTGAATTACCAGTAGTGGTCTTTTTAAACCAGATCAATAGATCGGTTTCCCAGAAAACATCTAAATGGTATATATAAATGATTAGTTTTTTAAATTGTCTTTTAATTTGTAGACGAAGGGAACGTCGTCCTTCGGAAAGCGTCGTAATAAGACGCACACACTGTGCCGCCGCTGTGGCTCTAAGGCCTATCACCTTCAAAAGTCGACTTGTGGCAAATGTGGCTACCCTGCCAAGCGCAAGAGAAAGTGTAAGTGTTCCCTGGACCTAACTAAAGGAATTGTATTGCACTTAAGTGGGGATATAACAAAGTTGGGTGCATCTATATCCAAACGAAGTGGCAAAAACTAGATACTGTAAAATTTGGCCAATAAATGAGTAGAATCTTGTGTTGTAGATAACTGGAGCGCAAAGGCTAAAAGGCGAAATACCACCGGAACTGGGCGAATGAGGCACCTAAAAATTGTGTATCGCAGATTCAGGTACAGCTTTTTGTGTTTCAACATAGTGGGTCCTAAGAGCTTGGATAAGAACCTTTGTTTGTGTAAAATTATCCTACTCTGGTGATTAGTAGGAATGAAGCATCAGAAGGTGTTTTTTTAGTCAGCAGAAATATGAATTAAATACCTCAAGTTTTGTTTGGGCTGTATTTCTCAAAATGTTGATACTACATCTTAGTATAGTTTGTACGCAAATTTGTTAAGACAATTGCACAAATGAGAAAGGGAGCAAGGCTGGCCTGAAATTCGTTTATGGTTTTTGGTGAGCGATTGCGGATTGCATTTATACTACGTTAGAGTCTTACTCAAAATCTCAGTTCTAGAGTTTCTTAGGAAAGTGCAGACTCAATTCCATCCCAAATTTAGCTGCATTTTTACAGTCCCTTGTAGGAAATTATCTGCCATTCTCAATTGAGAAACAGGTTCATTCAAGCCAGTAGTTCCATTACTGTGTTGTTTCAACAGTTCTGAACCTTGATATCTGAGGCTGAAAAATTACTTGTAGGCAATTAGTGGTGTAAAGAATAAGTACAATAACCTCTGCCTATGTAATTGTCCATACAGAAGTTTAAAAGGTCACTAGGCTAGGGGGCTGGGGATTTAGCCCAGTGGCATAAGCACCTGTCTTGCAAGCAGGCCGTCATGAGTTGGATCCCCAGTACCGATAAAACAAAACAAAAAAGTCACGAGGCTTACCTCGATCAAGTGACCTTAAAATTGTTTTTGCAGTCAGTCATCATGTGGACTTAACTAGTGTAAAGTGACATCATGAACCAAGGACAGATTTTAGACTTAACCTTTTTTTTCTCCATTCACTGATGTTCAAAAGGGTAAATACTTCTTTTCTAGAATATTACTTGAAATGTAATCTTACTTAAACGGTTTAAAATGTCTACTGTTTGTTCTTCCTTTACCAAGAGGAAGTTAGTAGGATCTATCCTTTATAAGGATTTTTACAAATAACCACGTTTCTTGGCCAACAGGCAAATGCTAACTTTAATTACAAATACAGCCCAATAAATAATTATTGAATATTGAAATTGCAGTTAGCTGTGCTGTTATGCAGAATGAAATAATAGCTTATCAGTGATGTTTTTAAAAAAATGTCTGAACATATGAATATAACAATGATTTCAGCATTTAACTGAGATAAGCTTATTCACATACATTTAACAAAAATGATAGGGTTTGTTTTTGTTGCTAAAGAAAACTTTTTGTCTTTAATGTGGTATAGGCATGGATTCCGTGAAGGAACAACACCTAAACCCAAGAGAGCAGCAGTTGCAGCATCCAGTTCGTCTTGAGGATTTCAGCGATTACTCAAAATAAATGTTTTGGTTTTAAAAGACATATATGTGGTGTGCTAAGGTATTTTTAATCATTATGCTAATAATTTCAGTGAGATAACTGGTTTGGGGAATGGGACAGCTTAATTGCTTGTTCAGTTATGTGAGTTGGTGTTTGTTTGAGAGTTCTGTCTCTGAAGCCCAAGCTGTCCTCAAACTCAAGGCAATCTGAATACTGGGTCTTCTTGGCCAATTCTTGTATTTTTCTGTGTTAATGGTGACACTGTGCTGTTTCAACTGTAAATTCACACATTAAGGATAACAGCTAAGATGTTTAAGCTGTCGTATTTGGGGAAAAGGACAAATTCCTGCCTTTACTCTATTTTTTAAGGTACATTTATACAGAAGCCCTTGCAGATCTCAATATGGGATTTTCCCAGTATGTGAAACACTTCTTAACCTTGGTTCTTAGTATTGGACTGTCCAGGAATTGGACTGTTAGCGTAATTTTGTTAATTTATGCCCCCATGTTCTTTTAAAAGTTAGTAATTTTGAGGGGTTTTGAGCAGTTGTTGAGTAGGTCCATAAAAGTGCTTTTCACAGGAGCACTGTAGTCAAATCAACTTCAAGATAATAACATTGTTTTCAACCTAGAAAAACAATTGTGTTACATTTTGGGTTTGCACCTGAGACCAGTGTAGTCTCTTTAGTTATTTGTAACTTGATCTTGCTACATTACTAATGGTTCTTCAGTGATGGAATAGCCACTAAAATAGGTAAAGCTCAGTGTGGTATAAATAGCCGTTCAAGCAAGTGGGCACTGATTTTACTACCTGAAGTGAAATCCAGCTAGAAAAAGTACTTCCATAAAGATGAACAGTGATGTAACATGGAGAAAGGCCTAATTATGACAAGAGGGTTCTAATTATGGTGAAGCAGTAGAAAGGACACAGGATGGGTAAATACATGGATGCAGTTGTGCTTTTTAAATGCTAGCGTGTGGAATGTTTTTTCCTTGTTGCCAGTGTGTCAGATGTTCAGAACTGAGATTTGGCAGGAATGAGAGGCATTGACCACTGCTTGTAGCTTCCAAGTTTCCCAGCAGGACAGTGATGAACTTGCGTTTTCTGGGCAAAAGGCACATAGGACCTCAGGAACACAGTGTCCATGAATTGTTTATTTGGCCCACAGGCTTTTTTTCCCCTTCTGTGCGTACTTTAAGTTGGACATTTATAAGATGATAAGTATATAACAGGAGTTTCTTGTGTGGCAGAATTGGATAGTCTTAAAGTATTAACAGTGAAATTTCAAAAAAGGCAAGCAAGGCATTAGAATGCTGAAGTCAGCCTAAGTTGGCTCAATTACAATGAAATGAATTTGGCCATAGGCTTTAAAGGACTACATGAGCTACCTTTTTTTTTTAACTTTTTATTGGTACCAGGGATCGAACTCACGACCGCCTGCTTGCAAGGCAGGTACTTAATGCCACTGAGCTAAATCCCCAGCCCCATGAGCTATCTTGAAACAAGGTTTGGCTTGGCAGTTCAGACTGGCCTCAAATTCAAGAGATCCCTCCTCAGAGTGCTGGGATTATAGGCTTGCCCCACCATACCCATCTGTGAATTCCACAATGAGATAATGAAATTGGCCTTAATGAAGCAGACCTTGAAAGCAGGGATACAGGAGTCTTGAGATTCCTTAGGTTTCAGGCTAGGGCAAGGTTGGTGCATTCACTGGGAGATAAAATACAGACCGGAGGTGATGGAGTTGTTGAGATGATGGGCCATGAAATATCTAAGAAGCAAATAAACCCTAGTGGCAGTTGAGATTGAAAGCCAGGACTGAAAATCTGCCTTTAAAGTTAATGTACTGTTGTATAAGGAGACAATTTAAGTTAGAATGGTGAAGCTAAAAAGATTAATGGTGGTAAGATTTGGTATGCATTTTTAAACCGTGAGAGGTGGAAGTAGTAGTGCATGCCTATGGTCTCAGCTGCTTAGAAGACAGGCGGGTCACAAGTTCAAAACCAGCCTGTGTAGCCTTGACTCAATACCTAAAAGTGTGGGGGTTGGAGATGCAGTTAGCAGGAGAGTGCCCACCTACCAGGCATTGGGTTCAGTTGCCAGTAGCATCACCAAAAACAACTGTGAGAACAATTCGCTGAACTTTAGTAACCTTTATTGACTCACTAATGGTCAAAACCATTTAAAATAAAATATCAAAAAAGGAAAAGATGTAGAAGAGCTTGAAAATCTGGGGAGATGGCCATCAGAGTTAACAACTCATTTGTTCTGCATGTGTGATGTACACTGTTACTGGGAGCAAAGCCAGACAGCCTTTGTCACCTTTACGTCTACACCAGTGACTGCAGAATAAGCTAGAAAATTAGGATAAGATTGAGTGACTCAAACTAATAAGGAAATTGTCTGATAGGACAATCTTGTGACTGAAGCTAGAAAGGGTAAAAAAGACGGGAATCACAGAATGTGTGTTTTATTGATCTCTTCGGGTTTTTTAGACTGTATAATGCTTGTTAGGCAAATCTGTTTAGTACCTCTATCAGAAGCAGTTGTAAGTTCAAGAAATGTAAATGGAAAGCAAAATAAACAATGGCCCTGCTCTGTTAAGAAATTTCAGTCCTATTACTGTTTCAGATATGTGGTGTTGGCCACAGTGTGGGAATGAGTTGGACATGGTGGCCCATAGCTGTATTCCAGCACTTAGGACGCTAAGGCAAAAGGATCACCTCAAATTGAGACCAGCCAGCTTGGGCTACATAGCATGACACTGTCTCAATAAAGGCTGAATGGTAAGGAGCTACTTCTGTGAAGATAATATTCATGCAGAAGTTGTCTTAGCCCTTGAGTGCTGGGTTCATGGCAATATTAACTGTGGCGGCAGTTAGTTAAAATTAATTGTATTCCTGTTAGAAAAGCAAATTAATACATTACAGAATTGTTTAAGAAAAGAGACCCTTTGACAGTATATGAATTGTATTAGGCTTTATTTTTTTAAGCAAGAGATAGTTTAGAACATGAGAAGTACAGGGCTGGCTAATAACCTCAGGATCCAAAATGTAAGTAGTGAAACAAAAGCATCCTTGTCTAGGAACTGAAGGAATGTTTTGAGATGGCCTTGCTATGTAGTGCAGGCTGGCCTCAAACTCACAGTGATCCTCCTGCCTTAGTCTCCCGAGTGCTAGGATTACTGATGTGCTTCACCATACCCAGTGACAAAATTCTAGAAAATAAAGTTCTTAGCTGAGCATTTGTATAATAGACCTAGTATGTGGACTGAGATCAAAACATTTTCATATCCTTTTTACATAATGTGTATGTCTCAGTGGCCTTAGATCAGTAATGGTAAACCTATGGCACCTGTGCCAGAGTGGGCTGTTTTTATCATTGAAAGCTCTAAAAGGTTCAGCATCATGTTTAGTTTTAATATCAGTAAACATTTAGTCCTATTCCAAAGTCAAAATTTAAAGCTGATGAACTTAACTTGCTTCTTGGCATAGGCTTGCTTTGGGCTAGAAACTGGCAATAGAAGGGTTTTGTGTTTCAGCTTTCTCCTGTGTGTCTTTTTCCTGGGGCTGGTGAGCTGTATTTCATTCCTCATTGGGGCTGAAGGATAAATAAGATGAAGGAGGTGAGGAGTTAGGATTAGTTCTTTCTTTGCTGGGTGACTTCATGGTCTGAACCCCAGAAAGGATTAAGCTCTGTATCTTCTGGATACTTGTGTGACCTCTTGGGAGATTACCTGTGGGATTACCCCTTTTAAATTCCCTGAAATCTGATGGACCCATCACAGTTCAGCAGTTCAAAACAGTCCTGTAATTCCTCCCTATGCCAACTATCCAGCCCCCTTATTTACATCTAATGACATTGGCAGGATCACAGTTACTGTATGTATTTTAGTACTTTGCTCATTACCCAGGCAAAATACCAACACCCACAACTTAAGGGAGAAGTTTATAGCTGGCTGCAAGGCAGGACAATGTAGTATAGGAGAGCATCTCTTGTCATGACTAAGAAGCAGTGCGTAAAATGTGGAGGAGCAGAGGAGAGAGATAACCTAGACTAGCGCCAGTAACCTGCCCTTTCAGACCAGGCCTCCTAGTCAGCTGTACTGCCTGCATAATCCAGTCACCTTCCAGAGAAATTTCTTTAGTGGTGTCTAACTCCTACATCCCTGATCTGAATGGAAAACGGAGTGTGTATGTATGTGTGAAAGATTTTCTGGTACTTCCTGAGGTGGGAAAAATTGCACTGTAATATTTATGTAGGCTTGCAAATATCTAACATGTAAAAAGCATTTGGTTTGCTTTAGTACAATGTTTAGCCAGGTGTACACACCTGTATTCCCAGTGGGAAGATTACCATGAGTTTGAGGCCATCCTGAACTACATAGTGAGATGTCTCAAAAGTCAAATCAATATTTTAAAAAATAGAAAATGTTTAAAGTGATGTGAAGTTCTGAGTGTTAAATGGAGGAAGTCTTAGGGGAAAGAGCTTTCTTTAGAAGATAATTACGCTAGCCATGGTGGCTCATGCTTGTATGCCCAGTACTTGAGGAGGCTGAGGCAGGAGGATTGCCATGATTTCACAGTCAGCCTCAACAAAATAATGAGATCCTGGTTCCAAAAAACAAACAAAAAAACTAGGGTGAGAACAAGAGAAAAGTCTGATTATCTTAAATTAGAACAGGAGTTACATATGGCTGAATAGGAGGAGGACTGGTTACAAATAGCATTTCAACAACAGAACCATTTTGAGTGAATGGGTAGAAGGCAGAGTACACGGTCAGCCACATCAGAGAGAAGAGTGTTTATTCGGAATAGAAACTTTAAAAGTCCTTGTGTCACAGGGAA